CCCTTAACAACTGTCAAAGTTTCTCATGTGGCCCCATAGGAAAATTAACTGCCCACCCCTGCTATATACCATTTTGCCTGATCCTGCCTAATATTGGAAGGTAAACAGGGTTGGGCTTGGTTGAAATCTGGATGAGTGATTTAATATTGTGAACCACCCAGAGAACTTTGGCTATGGGCAGTGCAGAAATTTAATGAATAACAACAGAACTATAATTCTATTGTTCTATAATTCTATTATAATTGCTGCTAAAACACAAATTGGTTGTAAGGAAATTTCTCAGCTACACAGGATTGTTGCCAGTTTTGTTCTATATTCTGGGTATCTTGTCATCATGAGAATTTCTATAATAAGTTTAAAGGGAATATAGAAGTAGAATCCTCTTCATGGATCACTGCCTTGCTGTGACGAAGGGGCTTGTGTAGCTCAATGAAGCTATGAGCTATGCCATGCAGGGCCACCCAAGATGGATAGCTCATAGCAGAGAGCTCTGACAAAACGTGATCCACTGGAGAAGGAAATGGCAACCCACTCCAGTATCTTTGCCATGAAAACCCCATGGACAGTACCAAAAGGCAAAAAGATATGACGCCGGAAGATGAGCCCCTCAGGTCAGAAAGTGTCCAATATGCTACTGGGGAAGAGCAGAGGGCTAGTGCTAGTAGCGCCAGAAGGAATGAAGCGACTGGGTCAAAGCCGAAAGGACACTCAGTTGCCGATGTATCTGGAGGTGAAAGGAGAGTCTGATGCTGCAAAGATCTATACTCCATAGGAACCTGGGATGTAAGATCCATGAATCAAGGCAAGGTGCATGTGGTCTAACAAGAGATGACAAGACTGAACATCGACATCTTAGGAATCAGTGAACTAAAATGGACAGGAATGGGTGAATTTAATTCAGATGACCATCAGGTATACTATTTTGGGCAAGAATCCCTCAGAAGAAATGGAGTAGCTTTCATAGTCAATAAAAGAGTAGGAAAAGCAGTACTGGGATACAATCTCCAAAATGACAGGTGATCTCAGTTCAAATCCAAGGCAAACCATTCAATATCGCAGTAGTCCAAGTCTATGCCCCAACCACTGGTGCTGAAGAGGCTGAAGCTGACCCATTCTATGAAGGCCTACAACACCTTCTAGAATTAACTCCAAAAAATGATGTCCCTATCATCATGGGGGATTGGAATACTAAAGTAGGAAGCCAAAAGATAACCAGAATAACAGGCAAGTTTGGCCTTGGAGTACAAAATGAAGCAGGGCACAGGCTGGTAAAATTTTGACAAGAGAATACGATGGTCATAGCAAACACTCTTTTCCAACAACCCAAGAGACGACTATACACATGGACATCACCAGATGGTCAACAAAGAAATCAGATTGACTGTGTGCTCTGCAGCCAAAGATGGAGAAGCTCTATACAGTCAGTAAAAACTAGACCAGGAGCTGACTGTGGCTCAGATCATGACCTTCTTGTTGCAAAATTTAGGCTTAAGTTGAAGAAAGTAGGGAAAAGCACTAGGCTACTCAGCTATGACCAAAATCATATCCCTGATGAACATACAGTAGAGGTGACAAATAGATTTAAGGAATTAGATCTGATAGACAGAGTGCCTGAAGAACTATGGACGGAGGTTCGCACCATTGTACAAGAGGTAGCAACTAAAACCATCCCAAAGAAAAAGAAATGCAAGAAAGCAAAATGGCTGTCTGAGGAAGCTTTACAAATAGCTGAGGAAAGAAGGGAAGCGAAAGGCAAAGGAGAAAGAGAAAGATACACCCAATTGAATGCAGAATTCTAGAGAACAGCTAGAAGAGATAAGAATGCCTTCTTAAATGAACATTGTAAAGAAATAGAAGAAAACAATAGAATAGGGAGGACCAGAGATCTCTTCAAGAAAATTGGAGATATGAAGAGAACGTTTCATGCAAAGATGGGCATGATAAAGGACCAAAATGGCAGGGACCTAACAGAGGCAGAAGAGATTAAGAAGGGGTGGCAAGATTACACAGAGGAACTATACAAGAAAGAGCTTAACGTACCTGATAAGCACGATGGGGTGGTCACTGACCTTGAGCCAGACATCTTGGAATGTGAAGTCAAATGGGCCTTAGGAAGTCTGAGCAACAACAAAGCTAGTGGAGGTGACAGTATTCCAGCTGAGCTATTCAAAATCTTAAAAAATGATGCAGTAAAAGTACTACACTCAATATGCCAGCAAATTTGGAAAACTCAACAGTGGCCACAGGATTGGAAAAGGTCAGTTTACATTCCGATCCCAAAGAAGGGCAATGCCAAGGAATGTCCAAACTACCGCACCATTGCACTCATTTCACATGCTGGCAAAGTTATGCTCAAAATCCTACAAGCTAGGTTCCAGCAGTATATGTACAGGCAGGATTTCAAAGAGGGAGATGAACTAGAGATCAAATTGCCAACATACGCTGGATCATGGAGAAAGCTAGGGAGTTCCAGAAAAACATCTACTTCTGCTTCATTGACTATGCTAAAGTTTTTGATTGTGTGGATCACAACAAATTGTGGTAAGTTCTTAAAGACATGGGAGTACCAGACCATCTTATTTGTCTCTTGAGAAACCTATATGCGGGTCAAGAAGCAACAGTGAGAACTGGACACGGAACCACTGATTGGTTCAAAATTGAGAAAGGAGTTCGACAAGGCTGTATAGTGTCGCCCTGTCTATTTAACTTATATGCAGAGCACATCATGAGAAAGGCGGGGCTAGATGAATCACCAGTTGGAATTAAGATTGCTGGGAGAAATATCAACAACCTCAGATATGCAGGTGATACCACTCTCATGGCAGAAAGTGAAGAGGAACTAAAGAGCCTCTTGATGCGGGTGAAGGAGGAGAGTGCAAAAGTTGGCTTGAAACTCAACATTAAGAAAACTAAGATCATGGCATCCGGTCCTCTCACTTCCTGGCAAATAGGTTGGGAAGAAATGGAGGTAGTGACAGATTTTATTTTCCTGGGCTCCAAGATCACTGCAGACGGGGACTGCAGCCAAGAGATTAAAAGACACTTGCTCCTGGGGAGGAAAGCTATGGCAAATCTAGACAGCATACAAAAAAGCAGAGACATCACCCTGCAAACAAAAGTGCATATAGTCAAGGCTATGGTTCTTCCAGTTGCAATGTATGGCTGTGAAAGCTGGACCATAAGGAAGGCTGAGCACCAAAAGATTGAGGTCTTTGAATTGTGGTGCTGGAGGAGACTCCTGCGAGTCCCTTGGACTGCAAGGCAATCAAACCAGTCAGTGCTAGAGGAGATCAACCCAGACTGCTCTTTAGAAGGCCAGATACTGAAGATGAAACTGAAATACTTTGGCCACCTAATGAGAAGGAAGGACTTCCTGGAGAAGAGCCTAATGTTGGGAACAATAGATGGCCAAAAAAAGGGGGGGGGCAGCTGAGGATGAGGTGGCTAGATGGAGTCACTTAAGCAGTTGGTGTGAGCTTAAGTGGACTCTAGGGGATGGTGGAGGGCAGGAAGGCCTGGAAGAATGTTGTCCATGGGGTCGCGATGGGTTGGACACGACTTTGCGAATAACAACAACAAGAAGCAGAAAATGATACTTATTAGAAGGTTTGTACTTCACCTAATAATGTCAGTTTTTATCAAATCTCAGCTTTTAAAATCCTAGTTGAAAATTTGCATGCAAGATCATTTTCACTCAATAAAAGCAAGATCCATCCCAATGTCAACATACAGACATATATTTACTACAGCACATTAATTTCCATATTATTTGCTTCCAAACTGAATTTACCGCTTCCCAATGAATAAGTTGTAGATGTGTGTCTAAAATAATCTGAATTAAAATGGGGGAACTAATCACAGTTACAAAACATGTATGTAAATTAACTACATACTCAGCACTGAAAATGTTATGTGGTGAAGCATGCTCTGGATTTTCTTAGGTCAATCATCATATTGACTGCTCCATTCAGCTGCCATCTTGTGTGCTCTGACTTTTCTCATGGGTTGTTCCCATGGGATGTGGAATTGCTATGTTTGATGTACCATGTTCTCAGTGGCAGATGAAAGTGGAATGAAACGTGACTGCAGATCCAAGATTATTTCCACATATGTTCTCTGAACAGAGCAGCTATACTGTGTAGACTATTTAAGATATCTTACATGTTAAGTCATAATATGTGGCCTAGCTCTTATATTGAACTTTTTAAATTCCATTTCCCACTTTCATATGTGAAACATTCTTCAGCTGGAATCGTCTTACCAGGAAATATTTTAAAGAAAAAGTTTGTCAGGTATCTCTGCGGATAGTTCAGGCAAAACACATTCTGCCACATGATCTTATTGATGTATGCTGTATATTTACATGAGTCTATAAAACAAATATATTGGTTTCCATCACATTTTTCTCAGGGAAAATACGATGAAAATCTAGGATGTAGCACTGGTGGACCAGTGACCTGAGTCTTGTGGCCTCAATCCTGCAAGAAGAGACACTCTTTCAGGTGTAGGAGTTTCCACCACCTCTTTCTTCCCATGCTCAATTCAAAGGTAAGTCCATGGGCGCAGGAAAAACCAGAGGCTTTGGTGGCAACAAGTGTTCTCTGAGCTTTGCATGAGCATTCATAACTTCACGAAATGTTTGACCCTTTGCAAATATTTGATCTGATTTGCAAAGAAATGATCCCTTTTGAAATGTACCATAGGATGCTTCAATGGTATACAATTTTAGACTTTCTTGGAGAATAAGATGAGATAATTTAGCATGACTGGTGTATTCCTAAAACTTGTGAACCAAAAAGAAACCACTGTTACCCCAGGAAGGTATTTACTTGTTTTGAAGCAATTCAAGTTGTTCAAAGTGCATTAAAAAACTTTGATGATGCACATTTTCTGCCAATGATAGATTTAGATCTAATATTCCCAGTGTCTACCTGTGTAAAGTTTAGAGATGCTGTTTCAGACATGCATGCCACCGTTTTGTGTCTTTGATTAAGACTTACTTTCATCACCAGTCTCAAATTCAAACTTCTGGCTATAGCCACTGTATCCTGTTGCAGTCCTGACTCTGATATGAAATATGTATTTGGTGGCTGGTTTGAGGCCGGTGACGATAACACTTGGAGCCTTTGACCTTGTGGAGGAATAGCTGAGCTGCTCGTGCTCCTGAGGAACAAAAGAAGGAGGAAATGATGTCAAGTGGAGTTGTACACGCTATATAACAATCTTTCAAATCTGAATTTCTTATGAATGTTGAAGTGTGCTCATTTAAAGGAGTGAAAGCTATCACCATGATGTATGGCACAACCTAGGTTTAGATACTGCTTAAGAAATGTTGTTTTATGTTTCATATGAGACTGTGTCCTTGTGAGCTGGGTTAGTAGTTACACTGGAATCAAAATAATATGAAATTAGTACAAGTCTACATCCAAAGAAAATGGCAGCTAAAATGGCAGCTGTATACTTCAAATAATGGACAAATTAGGATTTTAGTAAGTACTAAGAAAGCATAACGTATAGATGTGGTATTCAAAGGCTCACTACTCACTTCTACCCTCAGGTAGTGCCAAAATGCCGGCGCTATCCGTGGGTAGACCTGCGGGTAAAAGAAAATGAAAATTAACTCTTAAACCTGAAACAGGCTCCTACTGTCTCATTGGTTTGGAAAATTATCTTAATATCTGCTTTTTATTATTGCAGTTGCACAAAATGTCCCATATTAACAAAACTGGGGAAAATGAACTGTATGCATGATCTTCACATATTGCTGTGCATATGGTGCTTGCCTGTACTTGTACAGAAAAATGTCAAATAGCTACTGAGAGTTACTCTGTATCCTCCACCACTAGCAATATCAGTAGGGATGGTAGCAGCACAGCACTTAGGTTTGAAAAAAAAAGAATTAATCATTAAGTTGCTTTTTGGAAACTCTTTTCTTATCCAGAAGCCATAATACAACACAAGTTAGGGATGCTTCAGGAGTTAGGCATACTTCACTGCAGTGAAATGGAAGTGCACCTAACTGTGTTCATTATAGCCAGAATGCCTTCGATAAAATAGCTCCTTTTTGTGAGGCTCTGAGAAATGGCCAGAGCATTAATGTGCTCAAGAACCAAAAAAAAAAAAAAAAGCATCTTTCTCAAGTTCACTAGTCAGTTGCCATCTCTAAACTCGTTCATGTTTTTATGCTTTCCCTTGAGCTTGTTTTAATATGATGACCAAATCTCTTGACCATAGTTTTGCTTAGAACAAGATTGTCCGTAACAATCTGCACAATGTATAACTGGAACCCTCAGGACACATATAATAGCATAAACAATGCTAAAAAATGTGGTGTATTAAGTTATCAGAAGGTATACTCATCCTGCTTACTTGAGAAAATAAGATTCATTGAGGCATCTTAGAGAGAAAAAGGGACAAAGGAATTTTATTGCATTAGCAGGACTGAAAATTTGGATACTGTATCTATCATGAAGGAATGCCTTGTAAATACAGTTCACCTAACTCTAATCTAATGCAACTGAAGTTAAGTGATTTATGGTACAGCAAAGTTTTTAACATTGCTTGGGAGGAACAAAGCATTAGTAGTATCTCAACAGAATAAAATGAATGTCACAATTGTTATACGATTAAATTGTTCAGGGAAAATTAAGTACTAGTGGAAAAAATTAATAAATGAATGATACTTATAATTCAAATGGGGTAGACAATTGGAAAGAACTGTACTATGGGGTATCTTCAGGATGCTATTTATTTTTAATGAAGTCTGCAGCATATTATTACATTTTATAATAGACGTCAACATGTAAACTGAATAAGAAATATATAAAATACAGGAGTATAAAAACAACGTACAACAGATACAAATAGTAAGCATAATAAGAGACTTCTTAAAACAAATAATTTTTCCCACTGAATAAGTGTTAAGTTCATAGCATAACTAAAAAGGCAATCAGATTTTGTTAAAATCCACACATTTGAGATGAGAAATGCTATAATTGAAACACACGTTTTTCCTGAAATCCAACAAAATGTCCATTTTCACCTTGACATTAGGTCCAACATTTAACTTCCAAGGCAACAAAACTACAATCTAAAAGTTAAGTACTAATTCAGGCTTAATATAATATCTTGCGGCTAGACTTTATACTTCAGATCCAAGACCCAAAGTAACTAGATATAGATCATCACTATACAAATATGTATTTGATAAAACCTGATTTGTTACTAGTGTACCTATTATAAATTTAGTAATTTGCATAGTCAATAATTTAGAGTTAACAGATTCTTTTCTTCTTCCTCATTTATAATAAAGGTTTTTTTTATCAATCTGGCTATGACAGAAACATTTAAACCAGCCTTCCCTGACCTGTCGCCTTCCAGAAATTCTGTACTTCAGGTCCCATCAGTTCCAAACAGCATGGCCAATGGTTGGTAATACTAGCAGTAATAGTCCAAACTATTTAGTGGGTATAAAGTTGTGGAAGGCTGACTTAAATTATCTGTGCTCTGGAACTAAGGCATATATATTTGTGTAATGCAAAGTGAGTCAGAGAGTCACCATGTATTGGGACAATCCACTGACTCTTATTTAGCTCTAAGTAAAATAAACTATATATTTTAATAAATTACACTGATAAAAAGAAAGAATACTCAACATTTTATAAAACAGAGAGCAATCAAAATATTCAAATGTTTCAGACATAGTAGTGACTGTGGGCAGTGTTACAAGGGGTTGCCTGAAAGATTTAAATATGTCCATGTATCTTGGATAAAACAGAAAGGAAACATATACAACTGAGGAAGGGATTTCTTTCCCACCTCCATTTCATCTTTACAGTGTTGTCCAGTGGAGCTTTTATGGATTGTGAGGGGCCTTTTACAATCTGGTCCAGATTGTTGGCTTCACCCTCAACAGCATGCTGTGACAAGTTCATGAGACTCTTTGGAGGTAAAGTTACATCCACCATGACTTGGACTCCACAGTTAGAGCAATTGCAGCAGTGTAAATGTCCAGAACACCATCTGATTGAGTTATTCCAGTTTCAGTACTTGGTTCCTGAGGATACAGTAGCAGTTGAATTTCAGTAGTTGGTTCTTGAGGACAAGGTGCTTGGGCAACTTTGTTCCTGAAGAAATCTAACTGGGACCAGATGAAAACAATTATAGGTCAGTTGCCTGTTGCCTGTTGTAAATAATCCTTTCCTGGGCAAGATGCTTGAGAAAGTGGTCACCCATCACCTCCAGGCACTCTTGAATGAAATTAATTTTCTGGATCCATTTCAGTTTGGCTTCAGGTCTGGTTTTGGAAAAGATATATCCTTGGTCACCCCATGAGAAAAATTTTGCAAAAAGTGATAACAGGAATGCAACCTGGGTCATTCTCTTGGACCTCTCAGTGGCTTTTGTTATAAGTGACCATGGATGGGCTTTCTGAGTCTGGATAGGCTCTCTGAGTTGGCATGTAGGAGCTCTGTGTTGTAGTGGTTCCAATACTACTTGGATGGTTAATATCAGAAGGTGGTGCTAGGAATATTTGTTTTGCTTTGCCAGTTATGCTATGGGGTTCCAAGGAACTCTACCTCTCCTTTTCATCTGATATCAGTGAGGTAGCTGAACTTCTAAACCATTACTTGGGCAAGCCAATGGACTGGATAAGGCTCAATAAAGTATCCAAACAAGCTAGAGACACAATTTGTGGGTGCTTCATCTGTCTGTCTGGGTGGAGTTGACTAGCACTGTATTTGGTTTGGGTGGCCCTTTCCCTAAAGCAGGGGTCTCAAACTCAACTTACCTGGGGGCCGCTGGAAATAGAGTCTGGGTGAGGCTGGGCCGCATCAAGTATTCCACCACTGCGGTGGTGGTGGGCCGCTCATCCTGCGGCTGGCCCAGGCGCCACCGGAGCTTTGAAGGCCGCAGGGCCCCTCCCCCATGCACTGCCCATCCTGGCAATTGGCCCACGGGCCGCAAGTTTGAGACCCCTGCCCTAAAGGAATAGGGAGGCTTGATGTCTTGAAGCACCTTTTATCATCTTAAGTTGATATATCAACAATGATCCTACCTGGACAAAGATAACCTTCCGATCACCATTTATTCCCTATATGCATCTGCCTTTGAACTTTTTTTGGAAACTTCAGGTAGTCCCAGATAGAGTGAATAAACCATTAATGGGAACTGGATGATCTTATTAATGCCATTGGTACTGGCTGTTGGTTGATTTCTGTACCTTATTCAAAGTGCTGGTTTTATCTTTCAAAGCCCCAAATGGTGGCTTTTCATATTTATCAACTTCAGCCCAGAAATTTATCAGCTAAGGCCTTTCTTCAAGTGCCACCTCCAATGAAGTGAGAAAGAGGGCCTGTTTACTAGTGGCACCCTGTCTATTGAGTGCCCTCCCCTGAAAGCCTTACTTGAAACCTACGTATATTATGCTCTTTTATGGGAGTAGGGAAAGGCCTTTTTTATTTTCAAAACATTAAATTGTTTTAAAATAATTGTTAGTGCTTTTAGATCTTTGAACTATTTTATCCTTGTTCTACTTTTGATTTTATTGTATGCTGCAGTTATTTTTGTTTTATTATGATAGTCTATTGTTATATAGCATTTTCTGTTTTTAAACAAATTAACAAGCTTTATTTATTGGCTGGTTTAAAAATGCAATAAAGAAATAGTGGAAAAGACCACTTAGCTTTGTGAATGACTGCCTGCTGAAAATCTTGTAACTGACAGTCCTTGCTGTTTGTCACTGTCTGAGAAAATCAAGGTAAAATGAGAGCAGTAACAACAAAGAAGAGTATAAAGAACGACACACAGAGAAATCAAGCAACATTGCAGAGGAGCAAACTGATCACTACAAGGAAGAGAAAGAGAGAGGAGAAAGAGAGAGGGAAATAAACAATCATTTGGAAGACAGCATGGGGTTTTCTATTCATTAGTAGAAGTGGAGTGTTGAAACAATCATATTGATTGAAATTCTAAAAAACAAAATTTTGCAGCACAGGGTTCAGGGTTCCAACAAACCAGACATTGTCTTCTAGAATACTTCACTCCCCCCCTGCCCCGCCCATTTCTCTCTCCCCTTCTCAACAGTAAGCATAATGTAGCCACAGAAGATGGCCTGGGCTGTTTTGAGGGGTTTTGCTCTTCTATTGTATTTTTCATATGCA